GGCCAACTTAGATGAGATTAAAGCGGAATTGGCTTTAACCGCTGCTGAAATTAAATCGGATATCAAAACTGAAATAAATGCACTTGTTGCAAAAATGGAAAGATTTGAAGATCATCTAAACCAACTTGATTATCAACTTAAAAATCTAACAGAAGAGTGCGATAAGGCTCATCGGGCTATTTCAAATTTACAAAATAAAATATCTGATTTAGAAGACCGATTTAGGCGAAAAAATTTACGCTTTAGAGACATTCCAGAAAAAGGTAGACAAGAGGATGTAAAACAGATCTTGATGGAATATCTATCTACACTGGGTGTCCCCTTTAAATCTTCAGACCTGATAATAGAAAGATGTCACAGGACATTTAAACCACAAGTAATCCAAAATGATTCCCCTCGAGATATTATCGCATGTTTCTACTGCTCTGATTTCAAAGACACCATTTTGAAAGTTGCAAGAACTAATCTAATCTCTGATGGTCCCTTCCAGAAAGTTAAAGTATTTCAAGACTTATCATTTGAAACCAGAACAAAAAGAAAAACATTTAGTATCGTCACAAGATCTCTGAGAAACCACAATATAAAATATAAGTGGCTTTTTCCACTAAAACTTAGTCTCTTATATGAAGGCAAAAGAGAAGTATTTGAGACCAGTGCGAGTCTAATAGATTGGCTTAAAAGTAACAAATTATTGCAGTAGTTTTATAATTATTTACTGTAGAAAGTTAATATGAATATGTGTGTTGGAGGGAGGAGGGAGAGAAAAAGGGGAAAGGGATGAATATAAGCATTTTTCTCATGTAGTATCATGAGAGATGTGATCATGTTCAAGAAAATATATTGTCACTTTATATAAACCAAACTAAAACTCTTGTGAAGAAATTAACACTTGAAAAAGAAATATGTATGTCTACCTCTTTTGGTGTTTTTAGACACTATAAATGTATCATTTTCTCCACAAGTTTAATACATTACCTATTAACGGTTGGCACCTAATAGAATTAGAATATATGCACTATGTTTAAGGTAATGATAGTGTAATGAAGATATTTATAAACTCAATTAATTTTTTTATTTTTTTTTCACAGAGTTTAGACTTGTATTACAAGTATTTTTCTCATGTAGTATTATAAGAAATATTCTTACGTTCAGGATTTTTTTTTTTTATTAATCTATATATATCAAGCTAAAGCTCCCACGAAGAAACTAACACTTGAAAAAGCAATATGCACTTGTTACTTTTGTTGTTACTATACACCACAAGTCTATTAATTTCTTCACAAGCTTAATATATTAATCATCATTGGTTGGCACTTAATAGAAGTACACTATATGCACTATGTCTAAGGTAACGATAGAGTAATGAAGGTATTTATAAATTCAACTAAATTGTTTTTTTTTTTTTTCAGAATTATATTTTTGTTTAACTTATCTAATTATTACTATATACTCATTAAGACAAAAATTCTAAAAAGTAATTACACTTTAAAAAGCAATATTTGTTTGCTATTGCTGGTGTTTTATATATTACAAATTCACTAATTTATTTACAAGTCAAATATAAATAGTTGGCACTTAACAGAAATAAACTATATACACAATGTTTATGGTAAAGATAGACTAATGAAGGTATTTATAAATTTAATTTAAAATTATTTTTTTTTATTTTTTTCTCTCTCTCTCTCCCTCTCTTCCTTTTACAAGGAAGATTTACAATATGAAAGAGGGAGGTTATTTTTTAGCGGTAGGTTTGGGGTTTCCACTCTTGTGTAGTTTTGCTACTCCATTTTCATTGTCCCTATATGGTTGTCAATGATTATTATAGTATTAGGTTTTCACCTAATAGCTGGATGAATGATGATGTTGGACTTATTTATAGTCCAATGATAGGTAGTATATGTTGTCTCGGGTTTTTTTTTGTTTTTTTTTTTCAGGAAGTCAAGAATATTGTTTTGAGGTATTTCTATGTTGACGTTTTTATCCTTGAATGTACAGGGGCTTAATACAAATAAGAAAAGGCATAGACTGTATGACTCTTTGATAGAACAAAATATACAGGTTGCTTTTCTACAAGAAACGTATTGGCTTAAAGACACCAAACAAACATGGGGTGGAGATAATTTTGTAACAGTGATTCATGCCTCATTAACTAATTAAAAATA